ATAATAGCAATATAAATTTATCATTTTAGTATTTAAATATTTCTATATAAGAGTAAAAATTTTTTAACCAAAAAATAAACAACTATCAACAGAATAATTAAAACAATAAATTCATGAAGATTTCTTACTTCCATAATCGGAATGATAATAACATAAATAGAAATAAAATATTGTATCTAAATGAGTTAATGGATATCAAAAATTTGAAACATTCATTAACTAGTTTAATATATCTAAAATATATGAACATAAAAATAAAGGATATATTTTTTAGATGTTATTTGAGAAGATAAAAACTTTATGATAATAATTTTCTCAATTATATTGTGTAAAAATTATATACTTTAGTATAACAATTTACTTTAAATTTCATTTTCATTATAATGCTCTAAGTTGACTGATTATTTAACAAAGATAGTCTTAAGAAGGATGGTTAAATGTTAGAGCTATTTAATAATGTCTTATCGCTTAAGAGAATTGGTTCAAATTTTGTAATTGGATTGCTATTTGAAATCAGATATAAAACCTTTGTAAAAATAAGCATCAATATGATTAGGATCAAGTTAAATCACCTTATTAAAGCAGTGTATCGCTTATTCATATTACTTTATATTTTCTAAAGTAACACCTAAAATTCTAATTATAGAGATAGAACCTTTTCGAATATAGGAATTAATTGATGTTGGATCAATTTTAATTACTTGATTATAGTCATTTACTGCTTGGTCAAATTCCCCAATATCTTAAAATAAAATTCCTAATATATAAAGAGTGATGTATTTACCTCGATTGTAATATGCTATAGCATATTTTGGATCAAGTTGGATTGCTTGATTATAGTCATTTAATGCTTTATCATTCTCCCCATTATCTTGATATAAACTGCCTAATATTTTAAGTATAATAGTATATACCTCTATTACAATAAGCTATTGCAAATTTCTCATCTAGTTTAATTGCTTGATTATAGTCACTTAATGCATTTTCATACTCCCCAATATCTTGATATAAACTGCCTAATGTATTAAGTATAATAGTATTTACCTCTCCCATTATAGGCATATGCATATTTTGGATCAAGTTGGATTGCTTGATTTTAGTCAATTAATGCTTTGTCTTTTTCCCCAATATCATCATAAACACTGCCTAATATATATAAAGTTTTATTGTTTTAACCTCTATTAAAATAGGCTATAGCATTATATGGATCAATGTAGATTGCATAATTATAGTCATTTAGTGCGTTCTCTTTCTAACCAATATGTTTATATAAACTTCCTAATATTTAAAGTATAATTATATTCACCTCTATTACAATATGCTTTTACATATTTTGGATCTATTTGAATTGCTAGATTATAGTCATTCAATGCTTTGTCAAAATTTCCAATATTTTAATATAAATTTCCTAAGATATTAAGGGTAATTGTATTAACCTCTATTATAATAGGCTATAGAGAATTTCTAATCAAGTTTGATCGCTTGATCATAGTCATTTACTGCTTTG